GGTCAGAGCCTATCGGTACGCATCCGAGCCCGCTTGCATCCTTGGAAACAATAGCAGGCAGGGAAGAAGCGTTTTTGTTGACCTCTGAGTCTGTCCGCCTGCGCCGATTGTCGAGGAGTCTGTCCACATTTGCTAAGGGCTTTTCCACGAAGATATACAATATCGCGGCCAGGATGAAACTCTGCATCAGGGTTCCGAGCACTCCTTGGGACAGCGTGACGAAGTTGTACTGGAGCGAAGCGTTTTTGAGGTTGGCGTAACCGAGAGATCCGAGCGGGAAGTGTATGAGGTAGACACCGTAGCTCAATTTCCCCAAAGCAAACATCACGGGATGAGATAGGAAACGCCGGAGTGGTTCGGCGAAGTATAGGGTACATGCGGTCACGATCCAGAGATACATAAGTGCGTGGAGTGGTCGGGAAACTCCCGCGTAGATGGACATACCAATTCCGGCAGGTGAAAAAACTTGAATCGACGAGTAGGTGATGAGGTACGTCTGGGTCAGGAAGAGTGTTCCCGACAGAATCCATAGGAGGCTTTTCGCGAACATTGTAAACTTGGGGGGGCGGTCCTGCAGAGTTTCAACAAGTGCCGCGCATAACATACCCATCACATAGGCAGCGACTTGCGTGTACGGTCGCGTGTAGAGATCCAGAGCCTTACCGGCTGCCAGGTACCGTTTTCCCTCGAGATCAGCCCGAGCCACGACTCCCGAGGCACCTTCACGGAAGGTTTCGATACCGACGAAAACGGATGTCAAGCTCACGACTAGAAGACACGTGATGAGGGCGTATCGGGAGGATCTTCTATAGAACACGGATAAAGCAACGACCAATGGATATATCTTCAAGTCTGTCGATATATACCACAGATGTGTAAGACATTGCTCCCGGAAAATATCGATGTAATTATTCGATAGGCAGGGCAAAAGATACCACTCTCTGGAGCAGGAGCCGATGTTGTTGAAATAAAAGCCTTCTCGAGGGCTCGCGGTCCAGCTCATCAGAGGGTAGAGAAGAGTTGTCAGTAGCACAACGAGGGCTGGAATCACCAGCTTGAAGTAGCGTCTAATAAAGCAAATCAAGACATATCTGAATGGTTCTTCCGTGGAGAAGCGCTCCGTCCCGTGATGCACCAAGTATCCGCTAATGAAGAAAAAGCCCACGACCGCGAGGTTGATATTACTGAACAGCTGAAACCAGAGCGAACGACTCACGACCATGAAGAAAGCCCCGGGATTTTGGGTGAATTCCGGCGACGGAAATATGATGAGATGCCCGGCTGAAATCCAGAGACACAAAAGAAGTTTCATCCCATTGAAGAAGCCCGTCCGATGTTGAGGATCGCCGCCGTCCAGGAGACTCGTCCAATTTTTCGTCAGACCGAAGCAGCGGATGAATTTTCCAGGAAAAGATTTCCCGAAGGTGGAGCTTCTGAATTCGATGATTGTCCCGGCCAGGCACAAGATGAGGATGCAGCCGAAGAAAGCCATTGTCAGAATTTGCTGGGTTTCGAATGACGGTGGATCACCGTTCTGGCAGGAGCTCACCTCCGCTTGGAGTCCATACATTTCGGAGATGGTGTTCAGAGCGATCTGTACGTCCTTCTCCGAACAGTCACGTGGCACGCACAATGAAGCGACGAGTCCCGTGTAGATACCTTTGATTACATCAGGTACGGCTTGTACGTTGAGGCCGGAGGTTTTGTGGATTTCGGAAGTGAGGCTTTCGTAGAAAGTGCTGTTCTTGCTGAAGGCCAATTTAACTTTGCAGTAGTGTGCTTCTTGATCATCGGGCTCTTCCTCATCTCTTATGTCGGGATGCCACAAGCACTGCTCGATGCTGCCATGGGCTTGCGTTTGTCCGAGGAAAATGTTCTCCGGTATGAAACCGTTTGAGACCAGCATCCTATTGGCCCACATTTTACCGCTCCTGAGAGCTCGGCCGGTTCTCAAGAGTGCCGTGGTGCACTCCGATGAGAGGTCTTCGTTGACCATCAGAGCCTCGCCTATTGGTAGCAGGACTTTCTGAGCTGGATTGACGAGGGCTTTGAAGTCCTCCTTGAAATCCTTTTTTCCGTGGGATTCCCTGCATTCTGCAAGATCTTGGTACAACGACAGCTGGACAAGGACGAAGAGGGAGACGATCAGCTTCATTCGGAACGCCCAGCCGAATGGGAAGCTCATTTTCCACTGTGTTCCATGTACTTTCACTGCTACTGGGACTACACTGCCGGTCTCTCGGACGTTGAGCCGAAGCGAATCCGCACCTTTCCTGCTGAACCGCTGCTGATGTCCCTTGCCTCGTGCTGATAGAGTGTCGAGATTTGTGATTCTAGGCTTTGTGCTCCAGTCCAGAACTGGCACTGATCTAGCTAAGGGTTCAGACCGCACGAGGGGTGGAGATAGATTACACACACACACTGATACGGGGTACTTGGTAGCGGACAGTAGGCAGTGCTTTATTCTGAGGTTGTTGATGCTCATGTACCTATTGGTTGAGTGAGGGATCTAGGAGAGTAGTTATTCGTGAGCATCACCCGATCTATTTAACTCTTCACATGAGGGGTTCTAGAAAGCGGGGTTCGGGGTGTGTGTACGGAGCGGAAGATGTAGACGGGTAGATGCGTGCGGGGTTCTGATGAGAAGAGGGTGGAGCATGGATGGATGTGGGGTCCTGAGGGCACTGAGATTCACCATCTTCACTGGCGTTCAATAAAGCAAACCGTTCTGGACAAGCAACGATGTTCGCTTCCACCTTCTGCCCCCTCTTGTTTGCGTTCTGCGTCCGAGTAGCCACTGCAGCCACTGATGGAGACAAAAGCGCATACTATTCCCGAGCACCAACCCTAAAAAGTCGCGAATATGCCTAGCTCCGGTCCACTCGCCTCTGCTACAAAAGTAACGTTTCAGAGCTTCGTATTTCGATTCGTTCAGCTTTCATTTCTTCACTAGCCGTGAGGGCGCTTCGCGCCCCCACAGCCTTAAGAAAATCGAGTGTTGCTTTTCGTTGTCCAAGGGGAAGGGTATGCAAGCAATAGACATCTTGTTCCTCTTTGAGTCTGGACTACATAATTATCGTGAATAAGGGGTGTTGGGAGGGGCTCGTTCTCGTGAAGATTATTTGTCAAGTCTCGGAGTGGAAAAAAGTCTGACTGCGCTCCATAACCGGGCATGGTTCCAAGTCCAAGCGCAGAGAGCCGGAGCCTGACGGGACCGGCCAACGTTGTGGCGTACTTTCTCAGCGCGGGGTGACGCTTCCGAACGAAGCGGACGAATTTTTTTTTTTCACGGGATCATGGGCACCTCACGGCATTCGGGGCACCTCTTCTCAGAGCCGCGGTCCCTTGGCACGTGCCCCCGGGATACGCCGCTCGGCACGCTCGCTGAACGCTGAAACGTATGGAGAAGAGGCTCCTTCCTTGATACAAGTTCCGATTGCGAAGCTAGTTCAATGTAGACTGTGGGCTCGTGCCCGTAGAACTGTTATAATGGTGACCTGATGAGTACTGATGACACCATAGAAGCGGCTTTGCATTTTGTGAAAAATAACGATTACTGCACAAACACGTGAATTTCACGGAAAACATGCGTATAAGCAGCTTGAGAAGCATATCTTGACCTCACTGGAGTGATTGCGCATCGATCGGGAAAATTTGGGGTCTCTTCGAAGTTTCTTCAATTATCATCAGCGAAAGTTTCCTTGAAATGAGTGTTGTGATGACATCATAGTGAAGCGGCTCCACATTTTGTGGAAAATCACGATTACTGGTGAAACACGTAAATTTCACGGAAAACATGCGGTTAAGCAGTTGGAAAAGTATATCTCGACCTCACTGGAGTGATTGCGCATCGATCGGGAAAATTTGGGGTCTGTTCGGAGGTGGAGAGCTCTAAAAAGTGGTCCGGTGTCAGGCAGACATAGCGCTTTTATTATATAGGGGAATAGGGGAATGGCGCTTCTCCACTTGGTTTTGAGGAGATATGCCAGCGTACCCGTCAGGCGTCTAGAGACATTGCTACCTGTGGTGGCCTACTGATGTCCGAATACGAGCACATTCCCACCCTCTCGTGGCTCCGTACCGACAATACGTGTTGGGATATACACATTCAGGGGAATCCCGAATCCTGAGAAACATTCGACATCATCTCCTTGCCAGCATATTCGTGGAAGAGTGGAATGAGTATTCTCCCATAGAAACAGTGTCTGATGAGACTGCCAATAAGAATTCACGGCGTCTTGGACGAACGGGAAATTCACGAATTTTGACGCGACCGCGGATGTCGCGGCGAAAGTCAAGCCCTAGCGTTCCTTGCGTCTAGTCCTTGCGTTCTTCGGCATTTGGATGATAACGAACCCATAGCGAGTTATGAGTTATGATGGCGGAACTGCGGTGAAGGACATCTTCGTCGATTTTGTCCACACAAAGATAGATGTTGCAATCTTTGTAGGAAGATGGGTCGTCTGGAGAAGGCTTGCATCAAGAAGAAGAATGAAGGGCGGAAGCAACCAGGACAATCCGAAAAGAATGGCCAAGGATGCTCTAAGGAAAATAATGTGAAACTTAATGAAATCACCATCAGAGATCTGACTACGGAGAATCGAAGCGCAGAACAGATTGACAAGGTAGTAAAGATCGACCTCGAACCGGTGAACTTGAGACTCGATACTGGACTCGACTCCAACATCGTGAGCGAAAAACTCAGGCGGAGTTTGAGCTCGAATTTCGGAATTCGGGCTTAAGTGATCGCTGCGAGCCTGAGCTCGTCGAGATCGGAGACTGCGGATCTAAAGCCAAAAATGAAGACAGGGTTCCTCATTCCGTCGAAGTTTATTCTGAAACTTGCGGAAACTACCTTGGCAGTCCTGTATCACGATACATGCTGTCCTGGAAGCCAATTATATTTTCAGATGGACATCGATCGATTAGAATTTCATCGAAGCCGAATGCATCTGAGCATCAGAAGAGATCAGCGGAAACTTCTGGTTCGGAGAAAACTTTCAACTCACTAGAAGGAATACCGCCGCCAGAAAGACGGCTTTCATCGCTACAGGCAGATCCTTGCCGAAGCTGACGATGTAATCCTCTTCGGGATTCAGTGTCTTCTCGGAGAGTTGCGGATGAGCAGTCAAGTGACGACTTATTCGGCCGACCTGCTCGCCTGTATTCTGCGACATGACCTGAAAGAGCGAATCTGGTCCACTTCTAAGTCATTACGGCATCGAAGGGCGCTTCTGAGCGAAGTGTTTGCGACACACCAAGTTCTTTCCCGAGCAGGCCTGGCCCCGCGACCTCTGATTGCGATCAGTCAGAACGCTGACCCGAGAACCGATCCTTCGGTTCCCCCACCCACCCAGAGTCCTTAATTATCCTCCGAAATACAGACCCCCAAGCTCGATATCACCATTATCGATTGAGAATCGAGTGCAGCTTAGACTTCAAGTCCGAATCTTCGCGAATACTCCCGCTTTCTCCCGCTCGTTACACGTTTGCAGAATATTCCCTCAAGAGCTAGCGATCGAAACGGGGTCGAAGGTTTTGTCAATGTCTAGCCCCATTTACGGAGCTGAACCTCGCGAGATACATTTTTGTCCATCTCGGAGTCCAGCCTGTGCTGGCAGGCTTGACGTGCCTCGGTCCGCGCTTGGGAGCGTGCCTCCATGCCAGCGGACTCTCGCAATCCGAGAACAGAACGACCGGCCCTATGGATCGATCTCAGACACGGGAGCATATTTTTAATCATTGAAATATTAATCACCCACCGGGAAATTGATTGTATCATCTCGTTGGCACTCGACACACGTGCAAGGTGGGCCGTCGATGAAGAATTGCGTTTTTTCTGCGGAAAGTCGATACGTTAAAGCTTTTATCGCATTAAAGGTGTTTTACTTTCCGTCCCGAGAGGTTTCTACGTCGAAGCAGAAATAACTTTCGAATCCTGATACCAACCTTGGGGATTTTTTATCGATAGGCGAGGATTGGCAATAGACCATTCGTGATGAACCGAGCCTAGAACTCCGTATTCGGGTGAGGTCACCGTGATAACCTGCAAGCGACTCTGATTGAAGTCACGCTATTCTAAAGCTGGATTTCTCTGAAGCCCCTCGTAGGCGCACGTGATTCCGCGAGCATGAGAATGTTCCATCACGTAAGACTTCGAGCCTAGAGCCTGATTCTCCATCAGGAACTCTCGAACAATTCAACTTATGCCATCTACTAATGAGCCAAGGTCTATTCTCGAACGTGGTACTCAATCGATGATCAACCCTCACACTGACCTGCAGGCAACACGGGAAACAATGGCATATACACCGAAGCGGTTTCGCCATTTTCAGCACTTGACGGCGCTGATTGTCTTCCAGAATGAGCGTGAGGTCCGGGTCCTGGGGGCGGGGGGAATCTATTATTTCTTCAAGGATCGCTCCAGAAATCCATGGGCGGAGTTCCATTAGAGCGGGAAGAGCATCGAGAAATCAGATAGAAGCGGGAAAAGCGTCGCGAAGTCATTTTGGTACCTTCTCGACGGGGAACCCACTCACCGACGGTCGACAACAGAAAGATCCACATGCACCATTTTGCTTGGCCTGGAATAATCTCTGACCCAGAAGATTCTTCACGGCGAATGCCCTCACTGGGACTCTCGAACAACGGAGGAGGGCTGGAATCGGGCGCGGAACAATGCAGCTTCAGCTCAGATTTGTCTGGCTCAGATTGGAGTACGTATAAAGAGAATTATTCACAGGTTCGCGCGTTTTCGGAACAATGACCGATTGTTATGGAGGGGGTATCGATCCTGTCTATTGAACTCGAGCAGGCACACAATGCCAGCACTCGAATCTCTGTCCGGGAGTCTTGACCACGAGCGTGGAGCGAGCCGGTATCGGTGCATCGAATGCACCGAGCGACCAGGCGGACTAACATGACAGTACGAATTTTCGGCTAGGGGTGGAGGGAACAAGACGCTCCGCGTTGCTTGTAGCATACACAAAGGAAACAATCGAAGATGGTGACTATGGGTGCTGGAGAGATAACCGCTGAGAGATCTCCACGGAAAATGTCTGGTTGGAGCTTCATGATGCCTGAACCTTTGAGTTATGTTTTTGAGGGCTGCATTCCTTGAAATGCCGCTGTCGAAATCGTTCCTGAGGGCAACTGCGTGGAGAAATTGATCATGCTTCTCCTAAAATAGAGACTGTGCTCACGGCACATCGTCCCGAATCGGAGCTGAGGCGGGTTCACAGACTGAACAATCTCAATGGAGGGATCTCCGGTGAATGTCTGCCGGAGGCAAGATTCGGCGTCATGACAGCGCTTTTTCGGTGCGCGGTCGATCTATTACAGAGAACCATGGTCTCAAGGAAGAGAATTCATTCGACATTGGGCCTAGAGTCGGACCTCAAGATGACCTTTCGGTATCAGCCATCATCGAGAGGAATCTCCGTGCATTCCGACGGGGGTCGAATTCCGCTTACGACTGAGTCTCGCCGACCGGCCATGTCGGTGCCCATTTGAAGGTCGGGCACCTTAAAAATGTTGAGCATTTTCCTCCTGGATTTTCTTCTCTTTGAAAGCACTGACATCCCGTCGGATCCCGATTCCCTCCTAGGCGACTCACCCTGCTCGCTCGCTAGATTCACACTCTTCCTACTTAGGACTCGACCCTGATGAGAGTGAGGCCGCAGACGTGAGGCGGATCATCCTGACTCACACGGTAGAAACTACTCCGTACAATATCGCTACACCCTATGGGTCAAGGCCACGCGGAGATCTCGGTCTGGAGCTTACCGCACAACGGTCTATTCTTGATGTTGAGCTGGTCGACTGACGTCAAGTACTCCAACCCCGGAATGACAATGTCTGAAATGGTCAGAAAATACTCAGTACGACGGAAGATGTCAGGAACATGAAGGACATCGGGGATAAGACCGAGGTGCGAAGGCAGAACAGTTATACGTCGCTTCGACGTTCCAAAGCAGAATCAGGAAAATGTATCCCGTTCGAGAACTAAATGATAAGCTGATATTCCGGTGATCGCTGATATTCCGCCAGGAGCATCCGCTCTCTTACTCCTCGCAAAGCGATCTGTAGAAACTCATTCATGATCACTCACAATTTACTTATCACAATTTATGCGCAACGCAGGCGAAAATGACTGTGGTCTAATGATTCGGAGAGACTAAACGGACTTCGATATCGAACCGGCAAAACTACAGCAAAGGCTCTCGAATTCGAGGCCCGAAACGGAATAACCTGAATCATCGATTCGAAGCCAGGTCAGCCTTCGCGGGAGTGGTCTCCGCACAAAACAGATCCGCATGAATTTGTCTACGACAGAGCTTCAACCCGGTGAATTAGTTCCCCCCCGAGGTATTACACTTCACCTGTGCATTTTGTTGAGGCCGTCAAAGTGTCCGGAAAGAGCGGCCCGACCCGACGCGGTGCTGTGGTAATGACATCGAGAGTGGCTGCGGAGAGTATTGTACCATTGCTTTTATCGCTGCTGTTCTCCGTCTCTCTCGTCGAGACGGGAAACTCTTCCGCCAGATCATCGAACTCGTCCTCGAGAAGCTCCTCTGGTTTGGGTCGTATACTCGGAGTCGGATCAAACCCGATGGAGTTGGGTAATCGACCGTTCGGTGCGTCTGACGGGAACACCGAATTCGTTCGATGAGGTATATTGCCATTCTGGACGATTCCATCAGGAAGACCGGCCTGCTCGATCGGACCCAAGGGATGTGCTGAGTTACAGGGCTTGTGTACGAGCGCCGGAGAGGACGAAATAATCGGTTTCTTCAACCGGCGTCCTTGGAGAATCTGGGAGCTAGACGGCTCGACTCGATTGCGGCCAAGGACCATATCCGTGTTGTCATTTCGTACCGACGCAAGTGACCGTCCAGGTCAGAAGGTTGAATTTGAATTGCTCAGTCCACGACACTCCGGGCGAGACGTGCTGAAATAACGGAAAGTGCTTTATTTCGGGCTGCATCCTGGGGAGGTCTGTCCTACCGGGCTTTCGGAGATAAAGCAATTCGTTGCCGACCCCCCTCATAGGGGGTGACCTCGAAAGAAGCTCCCCTGGTGGTTCTCGCAGAGGGGCCCGCCTCGCTCACGAGCCCCCCCAACGAACGAGACCGCGAGAAAATGAGAACTGCCCCCCTCTCCCACCGCTTGTCCCTGTCGACGGGCGTCGTTACCTTGGATTCATTGGATACGCGGCACGTGAAGAGGCTGAGGGGAGAAGAGCGAGTCGAACGTTGAGTTCAACTCGGCCATCGATCGCCGTGGAAAATGGAAACACTCTCGGATCTTTCCATAAGAGAACATAGCTCTAGCAGGCTTCCCATTTCTCATCTGTCGCCCTGTACTTATCTAGAGGAGTGATACATGCTGGCTCCTTTCCGATCTATCCATCTGTCGTGCTGTGCCCCACGGAATTTCTATATTGGCATTACAATTGTTCGGTATCGGGGGAATATCACTCGCTCCACGATTATTGAACACCATCACAGTCGAGATATTGTCATCGAACTTGAGGCTTGAATGAGCCAAGATGCAATGAATACTTTTTCCAGACGACGCCGGCTTTGCTATCTGTGGGAGATCGAACGATTGGAATCGAGCAGAAATGAGTTCGGGTCGCTGACAGATTTAGGTCCTGAATTTCAAGCTCACAGATATTTACAAGGAACTTGCCTGTCGAGTTCTCGAATCCAGAACATTTGAGCCGATGGAGGCTCTGACCCTAAGCAGAATAGTGAGCGAAGAGAATAGGCAGGTGCTATCGTAGAGCTTACCTTCGAACGCGACGTTCATATAGAGCTTCTGAACGAATCTGGTCCTGATCATGGTCATCTTGGTATTCCTCAGCATTTGAAATGTTCCCCGGTCGTGATCCTGCGAGCCTATCCGCGACTCCAGATAGTGCACTACAGCCCGAAGGGATCACCCCTGGCTTTATGATGACGCAGGTCGCAAGAGAACACCTGCCACGAAACCAACATCGATCTACATCAGTCCAGCATACGAACAGCTCTTGAAAAATGTCCTGATCAAAAACTTTTATTCCGGAGCGCGTCAAGGAATGGGGCCGTTAGACGTGGAGAGACCTCGATTGTGGAAGGGAAGCGGTACGCTCGATACGGCGAGCCCTCTCCGGTAGATGAGCCCTCTGTCCACCAGTTGATCTCACTCAGAACACCTCCGGGAAGAAGCACGTTTGGAAGTTTGAACAAGCTGATACAGAAGGGATCTCTGACCGAGTCGCCCATTAGAGAAAAATGCTCATTGAAGGCTGGAAGATGTTTTCGCTGTATCCGCTGGATTTGAGGAGGTGAAAGAGCGAATTCTTTGCCATCGGACTCGAGAATCCTCTAGCCCTCATGATTCGCGTGCGCGTTCGGGTACAATAGGGTGACTAGAGCTCTCTTTTTGGCAGTGGGGTTAGATTAGTGGGTAAGAGCAGCTCCCGCTCTCATGTGTTCGAAGTATTGCTAACCCAGTTCCGTCCATGAGAGCGGCGCCCCCGCCCGAAAGCGGGGGTTGGGGAACCGCCAGGTTTTTAGTGGGTTTGCGACTCCCACAGTACCGTGAGGCGCTGTGCACGGTCTGCAACACGCATTTTTATTCCTGGCCCCGCAAAAAAAAAGGGTGACTAGAGCTAAATTATTGAGGATCACCTCCGCTTGCAGCGATCCGATTTCCAAATCAGGACCTCCAAATTAGAATGGGTTCTCCCTTTTACATTGGAGTGATTGGAGGCGGTATCTGTTTCAGGGGATTTTGCCTAATGAGTATGCCCCTTCCCTGGAAAAAGTTTCCCCAGGATGACGCACGAAAATACATCTTTCGAGGAGCGTCACGATTTGACGGATATCCCTGAGCGATCGACGGCTTGGAGGTACATGAGAAAAAGTCTCGCGAGGCTGATGTACAAAGATGCATTGAACCTTGGCCGCCTGCCGGGAAAAATGGATTTTGGAGCGAGATTTCATTGTATTCAAGGAGGTTCCTTCCGACTGATACTCTAGAAAGCCCCACACTTCACGGAATTTTCCGAGGGGATCCTCCCCCGCTTGAAAAAAACGGTGTCGAAACCAATAAAATGAATGAACTATTCGACTCTGACAAGACATGGCAGCTTCTCCCCAGCTTCGAACCATGCAGCGTTGAAATATCGAGATTCTGCGTGCGCGGGGGTTTATAATTCACGAATCCAAGACTCTATGACAACTAAGAATAGCTTTCTTGATGAATGAGATCCTTGTTCGAGTCAAGCAGCAGCCTGACGGCAGAGTCAAGGTTGGCCAAATTGTTTATTCGTAATACTCACATACGCAGGTATTTTGAAATGGATTTCAGGTTCTTTACAAAAGGTTGAAAAAGACGTTTTTACAGCGTGATTTGCGTGAGAATAATTATTCGTGGGCGGGGACTTTGATCGTCGGATAACTTTCACAAATATGCAGGAATCAAGTCCCAGTAGAATGATTCAGGTCGTTTCAGCAACGCCGTAGGCGCCAACTCCTCGGCAGTGGAGAGAATTCATCGATCGGCCCCACCGCTGATCCCTGGAGTTGTGAGAAAATTCCCCCAACATTTGTACAGAACAGTCCGATAATAGAATGTGAGAATAAATAGATGGCAACCCGGAAATTGAAAAACATTACTAAAGCAACGGTAGAAAGTGATTGGGATTCACTTTGAATACTCGACAGCAGCTCCACGACGTGACATAGAAGGACAGCGAGCAACAGATGAGTTTTTTGCAAACAGTATCATTCACCGACATGTAGCCCTGGCCTACTGATAGCATCGCGCTCCGACATAATATTTCGATCTCGCTCCTTCTCTCGATTGCAATCATTTCGAAAAACTTTGTGTGGACGAAAAATAAGTCTATCGTCACCGCTCCCTGGGTTTCCGACATTCCGAAGAAATGAGGTCCGCTCTACGACAGACGGCCATTCCAGACGAATATTGTGTGTAGGAGCTTGACGCCCGTCTTCCAGCGAAATCGTCCTCGTCCATCGAGGGTGACGGCGATGTATCGGAATCTCTCCGGAAACTGCCAAATAATATTCCGGATAGCAGGGCGGAAGCCGACTTGGATTTTTTCAAGGCGAATGAACGTTGTTCGCGAGGCTCCGCCGCTACTGAGGGGAATCGCTAGATTAAGACGGACGCTAAATCGTTCCGACGCATCTTCGGAATAGTATTATAAGTATGTACATCACCGTTTGGTGATTGGAAGAAACGAGTCCAGTTCAAGCATCGCTATCGGAGCTAATGGAAACTAACCTGTCTCGTTTTTGCTCTTGCTTTTTGACTTCGATCTCGCTTTTTTCTCCTTGGAAAGTGTGACCGTGATGCTCGGCGGAGTTTGAGTCGCTCCGACGAAAGCTGAGAACTGGGACTGATCCCAATGATTAGCGTTGAGTGCTCCGCCTCCACGAACACCGCTCAGTCCTCCCACACCAGCCGGGTTTTCCCAATCGTTCAGTGAGCTCTGCGATGTGTCTTTCGAGCTTGACGAGTTGAGTCGTCCTTTGATCTTCATCGACGTCGTACTCTCGGCTGACGATTGACGATATCGAGACAGCTCTCTATAGTCGGTCTTTTCCGTGGCACGCCGGAGAATACCTGGATATCGATTATTTTTTTGAGTTTTTACAGACACACGCGATATTGATATTTGTAGATACCACTCCATACTCCATCAACGCGGCATCGATTGGATGGGAGGCACCCTGAGGGGCGTTGAAATCATTTAGGGAGATCCGCGCTTTGCAGAACTACGTATTTGTAGTCAGTAGTCACCTTTTCGTCCTCGCTCGCGTTCTTGATTACCCTCCTGAGGCGTGAAAACCTCATCGCGTGACAGGCGTCGGCTGGAAAATCAGCGATACATCGGAACGTTGTTCTACAATGACGGACCAGTAAAGCATAATACGTTCCTGATCGTGCGCGTCAACCTTCATCCCAGGCTGAAGTCATCCGCAACTGCCACGTGTGTGGCGTGCATGATGAATTCTATTGATGCATATCTCGTAAAGATCTACGATCTTCGATAGAATCATACCCACGTCATCGACTGACGGATCTTTGACGGACTTTACTCCTCCGTAAGAAATGAGAACGTGAGTCGTCGTAAGGAGACGGATTCGCCGTCCGACGCTGTGCGACTCGATTCCCCGAAACCCGCGAAACCCGGAACAGCCGCGTATAAGAAACTTTCCGTTTCTCATGCGCCCCATGCTGGAGGGATGCCTTCCCCCCAGATATTTCGATCTATAGCTCCCCTCATAAACGAGTTCCTCTATGGCGGGGTCGTAGAAACATTCGTACCTTGACAGTCTCGGAGGGGCGTCGCAGTTGCTCGACAAGAAGCGATCCGTGAAAAGACTTTCCAATCGCTGCGGTTCTTCGACCAGCATCCTGCGGTACATCGCGTCCATGTCTTGCGCGGAGACCGAGAACAAGCGCTCGAAGTTCTCGATCAGGTACCTTGATAGAAGATTAGATCAATTTCTGCCCGCAAGTGATTCTTGCCACGACGCATTCGTACGCGTCAGACAGTCCACTCAGAACGCGATTCACACTAGGGGTCTCTCTCTGCAAATGTCATCTACTGTGTACCTGACAACGAGGATGACATCACTCCGTTCCTCGGCTCGCTCGAGTTTCTCGACAAAATAACTCTTGGGACCGGTGGCAACACTCGGTGTAGGATTGGTTCGGAGGATATTCGGACCAAGAACTGTCGCCAGATTATTGGCATCCATCTTGTTGCCTTGCAGCTGAAATGAGTCAATCAATTCAGAATACATCCATCGCGGAATATATATTTTCCTGGCGAGAAGGAGAAACTTGGAAGAAGCTCGTTCGGAGAAGCTCATCTCGGAGGAGGAAGGCTCGTCAGGAGGAAGGTTTCGAAACCTTAGAAATCTGTTCATATAATCCGGGAGAGTTCCGGAAGAATGGTGTCAGTCTCGGAAAAAAGTGTGGAAAGTACATTCGTTGCCGAGACTGTGCTCTTCCGGAAGCCGAGCGAGTCATGAGGAAACAGTGAAGCGAAAGGTTAAGGATCGAAGTCGTCTCCCACCGTGAAATCGACACAGGCGACTCATTGACGTCATCGCGAATGGGGTCGATTTCTGAGTCGCGTCAACAGTCGGCGCCGCGAAGGAGAATCGATGCGTGCCGTTCTCGAGGACAGGGCGTGAAGGCTACGGGGAAGGGCTTTTTCCCACGATGAGATGAAACTTACCGAATCGTCTTTATTGGTCGAATGGGTGCAAATATTTCGGAGCAATCTCAATAAAGCCCAGAGCACGTCGCGGTTGGCGGAGGGCAGTAAGCGAATCAAATGCACGACAGACGTAAGTTGACTCTCCCGTGGCAGTCCTGCGTAAAGGGAAAGTTCAATAGATCGTATTCTCCAACGCGATTACATAAATCATCTCCGCCATTCGATTTTCGGTATAATCGGATTGATTTTCTCCGGGACCCGATATAAACTTTGTCAAATCATTTATAATAATAAAATTGGAAAAATAATCAACTGTTCGGCTCGGTGGAATAATTGATTGAAATAATAATTTAATAATGACGCCGCAGGGATTCGAGCCCAGCGGGGGGAATTCCCGAGGCTCCCCGTTTCATGGCATCCGTCTCGCTCGGTCGTCGACCACGTTGAAGTTCTTCGACTTACTCAACGTATGAAGGAAAGCAGAATACAATTGCCTGGTCATCAAAGGTTCAGGGAGATCCCGGAAGAACTCCTTCAGTATCTGCGCGACGTCGTGAGCACCTCCACCGCTGCGCGGCCAACTCTCCCACTCTTTCGGCCAGGTCGAATCGTCCCACCTGCAGAGTATCGCAGAGGTTTCATCGCGTATTGAGTTGGTCATGGATCCAATTCCGTTCCCGAAACGCAAGATTCATCGACTCGAGAAAGTATCAAGACTCTAAGGGGCAACCGACCTCGATTCATCTCCGCTATCACTGCTGTCTAGACTGGGGTCTGCGTTGACGCCTAGCAGTTTCTCCACTTGTTCCGATCCCGAATCGAACAGTTCTCTGAGCTGACGAACCCTCCGTTTTGAGCTCGATACCCGAAAAACCCCCACCGTTGTAGGGCCTGCGAGGAGAAGTCATTTAGAGTCCCCGCCTCATATCCAATCATCTATGCGGTACACGAATAGGAATGAACTCGGAGACGATAAGGATTATTATGATAATAAGACGAAGGAATAGATAGAGGGAACTTTCCCTACCATACTTGTAGAGATACTTGAGACAAGAGTTCACGATCCGCGGAACTCGCGGTCCAGTGCGCTCATCGGAGACATGAAGACTATATGTAGACGAGGTCACGGCTCGAACCGACGGCACCGTCTTAGCCGACGCTAATTTCTGCACCGCAAGAAGACTCGACGACATCGCCGATGCTCCTAGGTCTGCGCTCTGGGTTCGTTCCCGATTCGACCCGCTATTACCTCCCTGGAAATTCGATCTTTAGTCGGGATTCGCGTTCCGCTCAAGCAGGGCTCAGCGAGTCTGCGTGGAAACCGATGATGCGTTAAATACACAAACCTTCTTCGACGGAGCCTCGTCCGAATCGGCCTCCCAGGACTCGTCCTTCGAATGTCGCCTTTCAGGGCTCGGATCCTCTTCTTGATCTTCGTCGAGTACACCCTGAGTCAACGGTAGAATATTCAGAGTTTATGTCTCTTAGATCAATCACTGAACTTTGTCGGGGCCAGTGATGCCGAATCGAGGGGAAGCAACCGAAACATGGGAGACGACCGGATCAATCCCAGTGATGATATTTACCTTGAAGCGCATACTGTACGTCAATTCGTGCAAGGAGTCGACGTCGGCCTGGATGGTGCTGACACCGTGTAGCTTCGCGTCCCGATTGATGAGCTTTGTTAAGGGGACCGCGAAGCAGCATTTTTCTTCACTTGCTATCTCTGCAAAGAGCGAGCACTCCGGTAATTTGAGCCGTTCTTACGGGGAGCTCCATAGCCAAGAGCCCGGGAGACCCAGACGGGAACTCCGGGAGAAACATTACCGTTGGCTAGGCGGCTAGACATCTCGATGAAACTAGTCGTCGCAGACTTTCTTCTGAGCAGAGCCGTGGGCTTCCTGCGAGATTTTCCCTTCGGTGCGAGATCCTCATCTGATTGAGAAGCATATTCAGTCGTGAGATTCCCACGTTCGATCCAGAGCATAATTCAGATCTCGGATTACGGATCTGAATATGGACTAGGACCGGAAGAATCTTCGAGAGGCAGTGGAACGCTGGAGGTGCCTAATCGGCTGTAAATTCTAACCTCTGGGTAGGCTGGGAATCTTGAAGCCTTGAAATTGATTAATCCTCTCAAGGGAGATGAGCGCTAGCGTATGTGATTCGGCATCCGACAGAGAGACCAGAGATCCGGAGCCGACTTGAGCCTTGCATTGCCATTCAGTGCTCCTCCAAGTACAGTCGCCCTGAATGTGGGAACTAATTATTCCAGAAAACTTTCATCATTCTCCCGCTTCTCTTCCTCAGGCCGAAGACGCGACTGGGACTTGGAGTCTTGGGGGTTCTCGTCCCGACCTATGCTCCCAAGGTGCTTGATTCCTATCTTCCTAATCAGAGCCACTGCATGCATCGATTACTCCAGTGACCCCCCTTGATATCTGTTGATATCTTCCTATTAATCGTGATCATCGAGACAGGAGATTTTCCTGGAAGGCAACAATCGTGTTTGGTAACTCGCCTCTGGCATCCAGGTGCATAGCTGCAGAGCGCCGATTCGGGATTGGCTCTTGGCTCTGCTGCGCGCCGACGAGCGGTGCTTGTGTCCGGAACTGCCTCCGTGCATTGTTTACATCGTTTTGGATCGGGAGCAGCGATCACTCAAATCAGGCGATTGCAAACTTCCGAACACCCAAAGTACTAACACACTATTTTCGTCTCACTTCCTTTCTCTACGAGCTGTCTTCGACTCTACACCGAAAGCATGGGTGTGGTGGTGTCCACGAGCAGCTGTTGCCGATTTCCGGGCACCACCGACAGGGGCGACTTCAGCTGCATCGATGGGAACGTTCGATAACCATCAAAATATTTCCATTAGGCCGAGCAAAATCACACATCAGCTAAGTTCAGATGCGATGTAACGTTCGGAGGACAGCATAACTCGGGCGCGGTGGCTGACGGCCATCTTGATTTCTAGCTTTTCCAGCGACCGTGAGCCCTTCAGACCACAAGCTCTGGGCCTAGCTTCAATACGAGCCCGAGCTCGCAAGATGCTGCGAGAAGGCTACACGCTCGACACCGGTTCGAGCGTTCGGAGAGACTCGTGGTCGGAAAGAAGCCGTCTCCTTACTCATCCGTCGCTTGCCATCATCATTACTGAACCTAATCTTGGGATTTTCGGGTTCTGATGCTCATTAGGGCGATCGTCTCGACACACCTCAGGACTCGAATTCGATTCCGGGGAATCGGACTGGGTGTTCGCTCGCGACGTCCACAACGCTCGAGATCCTCAGGCCGAGCGATGGGCCGTCAAGGATCAGGATCTCCCTCAAGCCGCCGGCAGCCCCTTGAACACGGGCTTTCTCTCTCGAGCCCGGTGTAGCTTCCTCTTGAAAATGCTCCCGAACGAGATGCACGTTGTGCTTAAGAACTCCCTCGGCGGGAGTGAAGGACTCCCGCTCTCGTGACCCGTGTCACGGTACGATCGCACTCCGGCTGACGGTTCAAAGTCCTCACATAGGGCTGGCCTTGCGAACAGCACGGACGTGGGAGCGATATACGAATAAGTTTTGAATGATGCATGTATGTGAACAATGTACTGTGAATTACGTGGTACTTTTGACAACAGCAGGGTATGTTCCTCCTCCTCGACGGGGAAACTCCTCACTCCTCCCAAGGTTTCTCGGGAGCTCGGAGAAATACTGAGCTCCGCTCGAGCAGCAACTTTCACTGAGAAAGAGTCAGATTCGGCTGCCCGTCGGACGATTCCAAGTCCAAGTCATGGAATTTGCACGGGTCCTTCCTCGCGTGGACCCCAGCTCGAGTCCGCTGCGAGCGATTTTTCCGAAGAAATTGAGACATTTTCTAGAGCTCGAGCGGCCGCTCGGATTTTTGGTGTTGCGCCAGGAATGAAGCTCTGTGAGGGTCATCCGCTCTGTGAGAGAAGCCAGCGACGGTTGCCCGCTATGCCGCTTCGTCGGTTCCTAGAGAAGGAGGACTGGCGGGCAGCCTAGCTGCTTCTTCGCCCGCCTGGTTGGTTAGCTGGAAGCTCGAAAGTGGCCGACTATCCTGCCCGAAGAAGATACAGACAGAGAGAGTCGTCGGTCGGCAGGCTGGCTGGACAGTCGACTGGCCGCACGAACGAGCGCTTTCTTTTGAAATAGCTACGGTTTCGCTGGCGCAGTGCGCATTTCCTCGGCTCTAGCTGTCTGGTCGTCCGGTGGTGAGAAGTCTATATATACCGCACGGTTCATTCTCTTCAGAATGGCGTTTTCCCGAAATAGATCCTCCGCATCTCGCTAGCATAAACGGAGGAACATTAACACACCGACCACTGACTCATAAGGCCGCTCATGAGACAGCTATCCACGGTATCGACAATGCTCAATTTTGTTGACAGAGACCATGGAGGGACCTCGCATGTAGTTCCGAATCACCGATGCCTGATCCCTCATTCATGCGCGTCGAGGGCTCGTAGGGTCCCGCTGCGAATCCACTGTGACGCCCGTTGAACTGTCGACCCTTGATGAGCCCTGAATCTGATCCTGCTTTATATTATTCGATGGAACTCGTCGCGGAGGGACGATCGCTGAGGTCAGGCCTGACCACAACGGACGGCCGAGTTTTGAGGATCCCTCGAATCGCTGCTCAAGCCCATGGAGGGACCACAAGCATGGCGCTTTCAAGTCCAGGGAATTCATACCCTCATGAGAGAATGAAGAAAGCCAGCGATCATGTTTCAGCTCCATCGTTGCAATTCACAAGGAAGCGGGAAACCCAGTTCCGAGATCGATTGGCGGATTCTCAGGAAGGTACCCGCTTTGCTGTTCGCCGATCCGGGGAGTCCACTTATCAAAAGAGCCGCGGTCCTGTCACAGGAATCGTTTTGAGCTGTTTCGGAAAAGCGTTCCCCTTGCCCCGCGGGATATCGATCGCGGAGTATAATCTGAGTTCAGATCCGTTTTCGAGGAGACCGGCTCACTCATACATCGATGATTTAGCGCGGCCGAGATCCGACTCTATTTTTAAAGCAGATTTCCGGCGGGAATCAGGTCCAGCGTGAACCAACCCCTCTGAGTATCTGGAGCTCGGAGTGTGGGGCAATCAGCAACCTACGGAGCAGGTCCTTGGACAGAGACCCAAGGTGAACTCAAAGCATCGAACTTCCCTCCCTGGAAGAACAATCAATGAGCTGCTGATGGCGGGTCCGCGTCTCTCTGGTGTCGTATCGTCCTCTTGAACTCGCTCAATGACTTCCCCCTTGGATATCCAAACTCTCTCAGGAGAGCCCGCTTCTGGTCCGAGAACAACCTTCATCATTCTGATATTCTTCAATTCCCTCCCGAATCACCTCAACATGACGAGCAATGTTTTCTATGATCGTTTTTATTATTGTTCGTATCATAATCATTAATGAGATATTGCATATTTTATTCCTTTCTTCATGAAGACAAACCAATGCAAGCAACAGGCAGGCAATCGAGACGCGATCTCTGTCCCCACGTCTTTATAATCACACATAGTCATGACCATACTTAACAATGAAGAGTAAATCATCTCTCTCACGCTCTTCTCCCTCTTTTGCTCCGCCTTTTCGTCATACATCACATCTGGAATCGCGTTGTCGTCGTGCGATTTCAATGACCTCGGTTCATTCCAGTGGAGTTGGAATCTCGTCTGGAATCGATAACAAGAAGGAGGAGATGAAAATTTCAGGGAGGTCCAATGCCCCGTGAGTTTTCACAAACCCAGCTGGTTTCAACAGTTTGAAGAGGCAGAACGGAGTATTTTATCAAGGTCTCTTCATCGCGGAGCTCGTTTCGCATTCGGCTAATTCGGAACAACGCTTTTTTTTGTAATAGTCATGGCTTCTCGGCTCATCGACATATCATTTTTGAATGGTTTGATAGATCAACCTCGTCAAGCCTAATCGGGATTTGAATTGTCTCCGATTCTCGCCCACAATCTTCAACGTCTCCACATCGGGATCCCTAGAATTCTACTGCGTCTCGTTCGCGTGAACGGCTCATCGCCTGATTTATGCTCCTCCGAAATTTCATTTTCTCCTTGATTCCGTTCACGCCAACATCTCATATTGTATGTACATCAGTAAATGGCTCGAAGCGATGCTCATTTTCGTGCCACACAACATATACGCGTCACCATGTCTTCTCGCTCTTCTCATCATCAATATCACGTCTATCGTGTTCGTTTCGTCACCACAAAGTCATCTCATGCTCGTTCAGGATCACTCTCAGGGTAATCTACCGTCAATTATCTATCCTTCGACGTATCATTCAACATCATGTTTCAAACACCTGCATGTCGTGGTACATTCTCCATGCTTATCGTTGTAAACCATTTTCATCATCGATGTCCTACTACACATCGATCATTCTTCTCTTAGCCCCGGCTCAATCTGAAAACTCCGCGGTCAACAGATACTCCAAATCTTATGATCCGATTATAACACGATTGAATAGAAGAATGAGACCTCCGGAAACTCTTTGAATCATGACTGTAATGAATTCGCTGTGTAGTCTAAGCATTGATGGATAATGAAATCCATCGACCCTGGTCTACGACCCACAGCTCCGTACGTTTACTGGGGTTCATGGTGAACGCGGAGTCTTCCCCCCATCCTGCACATCACCCTCATCGCCCTCACATCTGCCTGTCTGCACTACACAACGCCGCAAATTTACGATAAACTATGTTTTGTTGCTGTTGTCAACGCTCGACACTCGCGTGCTAGTTACTCGCAGTTGTCACACATTCAGACTGTTGTTCTCACACACAGGCGACGAATGGCGTCAGAGCAAAAAGCATACGGTAATCCTGGGACTGTCAAGCAGCTGATCTTCAATCATCAGAAACATAGCTGTTGTAGTTCGCTTAAATCATCACATTATTGTTGATTTCGTCGCGTAAACCGCTCCCATGAAATCATTAGCTCGTTTTTACAGAAATACAATAAATCGTTGGATTGTTGGACTTAATATACACTCCTCCTCTGTTTTTCTGCTTCTGAAGGGAGTTCTCTTGCAGTTCATGTACAGTGGGAATCTTCAACGTCATCATCATCATCATCATCGCCGTCGTCATCGCGGACAACTTCATGGAGCGATCGATATCGACTTATCAACAATCGGTCTGATGTGTTTCATCACTTGCCAGAGTTCGTCTTCATGTGACACGGTCGTCTTCCAGTTTCTTCACTCCTCTCAATCTTCGTGAAAAGGATAGATGCTGATTTGGACCGGTGAGACGGAACCGATCCGCCTAGAAAACTTCCTCGTATGAGACTGGCCGCACCCCTCGAAACAACTCAAAATGTTCCTGTTTCGTTTGAATTGATCATTCCATGTCGGCTTGACTCCGTTCTATCGACGAAGTCGTCGAGAACAGTTCCAAGAGCATGAGGTCCCTCGAGACCTCAAAAATGAACTCAGAGCAATTTTGGTACCATATTTTCTGATTTGGATTTTTGGTCGCAGGTCTGTTGTGAGATATTTCTTGTTGCTGATGTTGTTCTTGTTTGCGCAACGCGGAGCCTATGGAACACGAAATAGAATGCAGGGTCCATTCGACCTGCTCTGTAAGACCAGAGGGCCAGTCATTGGGGCCTTGAAGTGATCTATCGATGAATCGATCGACCCGTGGGTCTTCGATGTCAATTACGGGACGATGGAGAAATATTATCCAGATCAAGAGAGAACTTCCTGAGATGAAAATTCGGAGACCAGTTCGCAGGTGGTTCGGTTAAAACACGTTCCTGCTGCCAGAGACTTGTCTCCGATGACTAGTTATTTTTTTGGGGGAAATGGGGATAAGCTTCAAGGGAGGGAAGAGGGAGCGTTTTCTTCAATGGCCACTCGCGAATCCGGCTGTGTACGTGTCCGGGGCGAGATGAGATATTGGCTGCGTTTAATGGTTGTCATGGATTTCCATCAGGTTCACGTTTTTCCCGTAAAGCATTCACTCTTCGCTGGAGACCGTCGACAAAGACGGACCCGTCAGCGACACGAGTGCAACAATTATAAGAAGAATAATATTGTAAATAAACTTTCCTTCCGGCCAGCATCTCGAACCGAGAGTGCGGCACGCTCAACTGTATAATATATACAACGTCCTGTGTATATAATCATCACATGAATGACAAGGTCATTGATGCGTGGGAGTGAAGCCTGCCTCGTATCGAAGCTTATCGGGCGATTGGGAGTGTTCTTGCTTGTGTCTTCCTCAATGTGTATCGTTGTTGCCGTTGTTGATGCAAATGTTCTTGTTGTCGATGTGAGGGAGACGAGACAAGTAGACGACGGAATCTGAGCGAGGCTCAGATGCGGGTCGTTTCCGCTGGAAAATATCTCCAGAGGGGTCACGTGTCGGTAATCCGTCAGAATTTAAGTACCAAAATTGCAACAGTGGGAGACGAACATTGTCATCTCGCATCATCATCGAACGCTAACCCGATAAGGCCAAACAATCCGTCTCTTTTCTTCGAGGGTCCAGTCACTCGTCATCATCATCATCATCATCATCATCATAATCATCATCATCGAAATCATAGACGCTCATCGGGAATACTTTTTCCCATCAAAATCATGATTAACGTCAATCACACCGTTCGTGGTGCTTATTGCATCGTCGAGAGGGCAGCGAGCAACTTAGTTGCGGCGGTACAATTTCCGAGTTTCAAGCGGTAACATCGCGACTTACAAGTCGATTGTGAGTTGCTATTCGTACAAAGGAAATCATCGATCGGTCAATCGATCGAGCGGTCAACCGATGTCAAGGATGATTCCATCAAGCCGTCAGGGAAAGTGGATCGCACAAATACACACTGACACTCATTCATAATGATAATGGTTCGTGAGGCAGCTAAAGGTGATATTGTCGCCTAATAATTCGCCTTCTGCTCTTCAATCGAATTTACCTAGCCGAGTATGGATATGGGCATGAAGTCATACCTAGCGGATATCATGAGAAAGAAGTAACTATATGATGGATTGATGGTTAGATAGGTAGGTTAATTAAAAGCTGACGCTGGCGCATCGCTCTGAACGCTTCAATCGGGACGCTGCCGACGACGGCAATGCCTCACAACGAAGTTCAGTATTGGCCTGATGACGTCTCAACGCTCTATTCCCGATCGCTTCGAGATAGATTCGCGTGCTTCATGCTCATGACTTGACGCTCGATGCCGTTTCCCTTTGTTATGAAGTCGAATAGCGCTTCGATGTGACTCGTGCTGCTCGCTGTTTCTTTGAAAGGATCGTTCCTGATAAGCAGATAAGTTGTCGAGACGATGTTTTGGTAGGATCACCAATCCATGGATATCTCCCCTCTCGAAAAGAATTCGTCTGACTGCTGGATCTTCGAGTCAGAAGCATCTGAGATTTCAGAGTGTCGGTGGATGCCGCCGACCCGCTGTTCCCGCACGGTGTACTCTGTCCGAATCACCGTTCGCTTCGTCTGGCGGGAATCGATGCCGGGTCCTGCGACAAGAGGAAATCTCGATCTCCGAAAAGCCCTTCAGTGGCTGCACCGCATCTCCTCCGCACTCGACCCGAGGGGCTCACCGGGTCGATGGAACGGTGAGCGCATCGTTATCTCGACCTATATTCGTCAGTCAGCCGGTCCAGTCATTCATTGATTCTCATACATTCTTTAACAACGAGTGTAGATTTTGGCCATCCCTAAAATGGATATCGTTGAACTGTGGATTATTGTCGGCGGAAGAATCGCTTCGCTCTTCGCCTTCACAGAGCACCTGTTGTGCCTCCACTTCTCCTGATTCCTCTTCGTTCTCTGTCACTCAATAACTATGGGTTTTACGCGTGAACTGAACTAGGGCAGCGTGCCCATTCCGTTGTAATGCCTGGCAACCCACGGGGGCTGAGGGATAATAAATACATTCTCCTCCATCCTGAACAGATCACCTCCATCATCATTGTCGATTTATCAGTCTGTTCGTGATCGGGTCGCGGAAGCGAACGCTCGATCAGCAGTCAGTCGGCCAGTCAATACATCCGTTTTCCAATCGATCCCGTGTCCAGTCAATCGATCAATCAATCAATCAGCTTAGCGGTCCCAGAAGTTTCACCCAATCAGCGACACCATGAGCTGGATCTTCCTTTGACAACTCTACGAGGAGTGTATGATATGTACTCCCGAGGAGCAGAAGTTGTCGACGCAAATAGAAACTAAGACGCGAAGAACGATCCAATCGAAGTCCTTTCCCGACTTGAACGAGTGAGGGCGGTCCCCGAAAACGAGGTTCCGGAAACTTCAGGCAGTGACCAGAATTTCAGGCTGATATGCGTTCGTTTCCAACAATCGGGAATTGAGAAATCAAAGGAAGATCATGGAGTTCATTGGCATAGGGAGACGGGGACCCAGAGGGTCCCCTACGAATTGTTTCGAATGTAGTGGCAGTAGGCGCGCTATATGACTCCTTCTGCGGGCTGCGAACTTATCCTAATCGAGGAAACGAGTGCAAGCCTTCTTCCATTTGCATTGAGTGCACCACTGATCGCGGTTTTCCATGCCGTAGACCTGGAATCAATCACGAGAACACGTTTTATATTCTGCGCAATCGGAGGCTTGAAAGGGAATTTAAATATCGCGAAATCATCAAGGCAGTTCCAGGAGTTTTGCGAAGGAAAAGGAGAATTACCTTGCGGCACTTGCGACTCTCAGACCTCCCACGGCTACGGTGCTTGGGGCTCATGTGGATTTTGGTGGGGAGCTTCTTCTGCTGCGATCGGAAATGCGGAGGAATGTTTATCGGCGAAGAAGGGCATTTCCGCAGTCCGCTTTGAAGCTCAGGATCTTCATGCGAAGGTCTCGCCATGTCGAGGTGGCTTAGAGTAGGCGCAGAGCTCATGAAGATCGAGTTGTGCGGTGGTTGTGGTGCAGCAGGAGAGGACGGGCGCGACGATGCGTCGTCAGTCGATTCTCCGCTAAGGGATATGTCGTCCTTGAACGACATTGCTTGGTGCTCGTCGTCATCGGCGAAGTCTACCTGTACCTCAGTGTAGTATTGCTCTTCATCCTCCTTGCCCAAATCCTCGGAAAGATCTTCCAGATGAGCGAATCTAGTCGAAGAGAAACAATATTGGGTTTCTCGAATTTCCCGAGTAGATCTTTTGATCCGTCCCCGATCCGAGGGAGAAAACACATGCAAATATCGGAGTGGACCGAGACAATACTCAATCAGTCGGAAGCATTCTATGATTGCGGAATTAATTGACTTGGAGCTCGGCGGATACCTTATGTGTCTTCGGACAGTTTCGCAAGTGACGAACTGCACTCCACACAGTGCGCATTTGTATTCAGTTCTGGGTCCCTCGGCGCGTCTGGCAAGCTCAAGATCGAAGTAGCATTGTCCGAACGATGGCGAGGATTCGAACGACACCGAATTGGACGACAATGAGCTGGACGCTGTGGAGAAAGATGACGATGCTGATGACAGCGGGGCACTGGCCGTCAGCGATGAGGCAGCTGAAAGGCAAATCATCGAATTAAGGTCGGTTATTGCGAGCCGAGGATTCGAACATAGTGTCCTCTAGTCCGAGATTGATCCCAGCGGCAACATCTCGGAGTAGCCAATCTTGGGGACGACGTTCCTCGTCGTTCGTGAACATAGTAGGTGGCTCAGCGGAAGGGTTGCTTCCGCGAAATTTCTATTCTGTCCGAAATCAATCATTTTCGCAATACTTCCCGCGTATTACACGCGATTGAGCACGCTATCCAACGACTGCGATGGAGGGAGTACCCCACGACCTTGGTCGTCGTACCGGTTTGTTGGCTCTCTACGTTTACAGTCGGCGCTGTCTGGTCGGCCGGAAACGAAACGGACGAGAAGTAAGCTCCCGTCTTCCGCTCGCAGCTCGAATGGAACGAAGTCTTGACGAACGTACTGGATATTGAAGCATCCTTTGTGGTAAAGTCCTTGCGAAATTCGCAGCCGCGAGAGGTCCTGGCCGAATCTATTTCCGCCCTCGATCTCCTTCGGTCCAGATCATGTTTGACCGCCGCCGTCGCCACCTCAACGATCCTCTGCATGTGAAAATCACTACATGATGAGTAATGGTAGGTTTCCACATCTCGGAGGGCTCAGGAGGGACTGTCGGAGAGACTCATATTTCAGATCCCGATCGCATGGGTGTCGGTTCAATATGGTTGACGATCGACCTCTGTCAATTCGCTAGGAGAAAGGGAGGAGCTGTCCCTGACATTGAATCGGACCGAGCGCGCTGGGGAAAAGTACCCAGTCAGGAAGCATTTGTCATCTCTGTGTCGTGACTGCGCTCTGTCGTTCGAGGCACTGCTTCATGTTAATAGCGTCATCGTCCAACACAGCGGATCTGAAAATTACCGCAGTACCGCATCGCACCGCCATCTATACACATATATCAATCTTGCCGTCTATTCATCCATCCTTCCCGTTCTCTCTTTCGCTCGCGCGCTCACGCGTTCTTTGGCTGCAGCAGCGTTGCATGGATCCGCCCGCTCGTTCGCTCGCACGCGGACGACCTTCGAGCCGAGTCCTTCGCTTGGCAACCTGCTGCCGCTAGGACGTCGAATCAACTAGCTGCGGCAGCCAAGTGAGTGCCGGCTTGTCTCGTGTGTTGCGAGCTACGCCCTTGTTGCGCCGCTTGCTAGTATTCGGCGAGTAACATCATCGCCGGCGATGATGCTACGCCTGTTGTACACGCTGTCGGTGTTGTCGATGTTCATTGCCGGAGATAGCCGAAATAAAGAGCGACGAACGATGACCAACAGAATACAAGGCTCACTTTCGTTCTCGCTCCGAGGGAGTTTTACGATAAACAAATAGCTCACGGAGCTTGGGTCCTGTTTTCGTTCCGCGGACGGGGTCGATCGACGAGCCCTGGAGAGCCTCTCCCAGGAGTCGCTGCAGGATCTTCTAATAGCAGCGTGATCTCTCGGAGAATAGCTCGTCCCTTGTCCGAAGTACGGAATAATGTTCCAACTTATGCGCTCTCTTGACTCTACGCGTGCTCTGTTCCGTAAACAGTCCGCTTGAGATCGATTCCTGGTGGAATCTGCGAGCGTCAATGGCAAGCAGGCCGCGAACCCATCGATGTACAGCAATTATTGCCTGCAGCGGTTCTCATTGTTGAGAAAATGTTGGGGCTCAAAGTCATATGTGCCGGACCTCTGACAGTGGTAGCCCCTCTTCTCTCAACTCCATATTGATTTTGGATCGCACGTCACGGTGCGGAAGGAATCACCAGCGACCAATTTGCTCTGACGTCAGCGCTACGAGCAGATCTCAGCTCGTTTGTTGGCAAGCCCGCCGCGATATCGCAACAAATCGCACGGGAACGGAAGAAACAACAAACTCAGTCGAACAATTTTTTATCTTTTTCTTCTTCTTCTTTTAGGATGTTGTCGAGGCCAGTTTCCAATGTGTCACGACATTATCTGCTGCGGGAATTCCAACTTAAGGAGAGCGGAATGGCGTGAATGCAGCTAGTGACGTTCAGACAAGGAATGGAACGTGATCGGAATCCCACTGCAAGTTGCTCCTGCTAACGTCGATTGGGTCGCTTGACTACCACTAAACGAGCGAGGATCAGACCGATGCGCGATGGAAGAGGATCGTAAATCAGTTCATAAGGGACACCGCGCGAATCCGCCGGAACTTCCCGCGAGCGCTCAAGCTCCTCTCAAGCCTCTCACGCAGAGAATAGCTCCCAACGACCCCTAAGACAAAATACCAGCGCCGAATAGAATGATGAAAGATGTTTGGCGGAAGGACTCCGATCGTCTTCTGATTTTTTTTTATAACAGCCCGACAAATCAAATATCTGCGGCACTATGATGTCCGTGGCGTAGCAGCGGGGGAGATATGATTCAGATGTTTGATAAGGTTCAAGTTTCAATGCACGACCGCGATTTCTTCCGCCACGTCCGCAGACCACACGAAACCTCTAACCCCCGCAAACGATGTTGGTCCCGCCAAGCAAGCAAGGCTGTTCTAACGACTCTTCGCATCGACCTCACGTTGCGGTGTCGAATCTGCATAGCGATACTCAACATCGTTGGCCAATCGCCGTCGGCGATTGCTGCCGAAGTCTACCGTTTCATTGTTTCGCCCCCACGATTTTAACCAGATGTCAGGAAGACCTTGCCAGTCATTTTTCGACGATAGGGTTGCTATTGACTCCAATCTGCCAGACTGGAGAATTCTGGAACTTCCAGAAGCGTCTTTCGACGCCAGGCATCCATTCCTATTCATCCGCGTAATTTTCGCAAGCAATCGAGCTCAGGAGGCGACGCGATTCGAGCGGTACCACTCGATCAAACACCATCATTGTGTTATATAACTGTGAAATGGCCTCGTTTGGGGCCAGCGTCCGATGGGCAGGTTTTCATCACGTCATCTCAGCTGATACATTCTAGCTGGACAGAACTGCCGCCTGAATCAAGCGCGATTGACAAGGCCGAGGTCCTTTGAAGGCAACTCAGTGACGGCGCGGCGGTGGTGGCGCTGTCTAAAATGCTCCACGCCGAAACGTATGTCGTTGGTCATACGCTCTGCCGCTCGTTCGCCGGTCTGTTCGGGCGGTCGGACCGGTGGATACATTGACCGAACGTTAAACAAAAAGAGTTGAGGCATTCGTTAGGACCGCGTGACCGTCGTTGCCAAGGCGAAATAATTTGCTCCTAAAAAACGCAATTCGGCCTCGACAATAAGACACACGATGGTTTTCTCGTTGCGGCAACAGAAGAAACCCTTTGTCGGAATAGGAGCGAGACCTTCTGCTGAAACAGGAAGCGGCATGTCTGCCATTGCAAGAGCCGAAGGTTTCGCCCGGGCAGGATCTTCCGAGAAGCTGCAGAGTAGTCAGCTGGCGAACTCCGCGTCTGTCTAGAATTCGGTTTCCGTCATTTCGCCGTAGATGGGATTCGGTGAGAAGATCATCGAATCTCATCGCGTCAAGACGTTAAATTCTACCTATTTTTTTTTCGGTGACAGTGATTGCCACGATCTGCTCACTCTGTGCATGGAAATGCTTATTCTCCTGAAAGAGCATCGTGTTTCATTGCCCCTCGGTAAATCCGTGGATCGGACGGCTCGATATGCAGTGCCGTCATGAAATTATTGTCCTTCGAGAGAGCCTGAGACCGCGAGCTGACGACGGGCCATGCTCCGCTTTTCTGCCGAGCTCTTCGACAAAAACAGGCCGTTCTATTCTGACGAGTGATCCGACTGGGCGACATTCAGCAGCTCGATAAAAAGTCTGATCATAGTCGTTCTCCAAACGGTAATGAGCTCATTCGAATCAAGGGACGAGGGAAAACGTTCCCCACGATCACCCCCTTAACGGAAAGACTGGTCTGAGCGGCGGATGTCCTGGACACTTCCTGGTCAACGACAACGCCGCTGTCGCCGGTAACAGGAGCGAACGGTTTGCCAGACGTTGATGATGTGCTTGGTTACCTTGAGCGGAACCCACACGCGTGGATGTCTCAATAACACAGGCGCAGTTTTTTTCTTTTGCTCGGCTGTGCAGGGACTCAATTATCTTCCGAAAGAAACTTTCCAATAAAAGAACAACGTTCCGTCATGGAGGGACAGTGAACGACGGTGGGGAGAGCGGCGGGACCGCTGACGGCCGCCTCAGGAATCTTCCCGGGATTTTGACGGAATCGACTCCGTCGTCTGTCCTGACCGGCGCGCGATCTGATCGCATTCTCCGAGTCTCGATGCGATCCCTGTCCCATGACTCAAACATATCTCAACTACGACTGATTGGTTCCGGTTTCATCCGAACCGATGCACTACTACATTCATTCTCTATCCTGTGTCTCGCAGCCGTTGTGCTTGCTCGATGCGAATGTTCGCGGCTTGAGATGTAGCCTCGACAGCACTTCTGTGTTCCGCCTAATCAGCGTGTAAAATTTCAGACATTATCTCCAGTAGACCAGCAGCCTTAGCCTCGGAAACGGTTGTATCACGCGATATCTAGTCGCATTGCTTCGGTTGCGGAAGGATTGAAGTCGCTCCAAGGCCCATCAGCAGAACGCGGCGACTCGTCCCCATCGGAGACCTCGGCCTTAGGACCCTAAATGGGAGCACCGAACTTTTCACCCCTGGACGACGCGACGGTCAACGTTCGCTGTCATGTAGAACCGCTGGCCGACAATTTCCGAGGCGCATTCCACCGAGAGGATTCAGATACGAGCTCGAGCAAGAATTGATTCGAACTGGCCAATGGTCTTTGCGACCTTGGAGCGCCTTTAGGCCGACGCTGTTGTCAATACCTGTTCACAACCGAGGTCGTTACTCTCTAAGGTTCACTCGTCCTTCGAATCGCAACGTAGACGTTCTCTGCCGATGACCACATGAACTATGGATCCACCGTGCCGCCACGATGGAAGCTCCAGATTTGCCATTAATTACACTAGAGACCTTCGAATCGACTCGACTGCATCGATGTTCGTCGAAGGCTCGTGCTTGCAGGGGC